GAGAGAGAGAGAGAGAGAGAGAGAGAGAGAGAGAGAGAGATGAGGATGAGGATGTGAGGGCATGTACCTGGTCTTGGCGATGGTCTACAGGGTGGACATCTTCATGTACTTTGGTTGTTGCTGCTAACGTCAACAGGTTGCAATCTGAACCTTGGTCCGGACGTGGTAAGCATTCAGCAACGAGGCTAGTACAGGATTTCTGCTTCTCTTTTTTTCTTTTTTGTTTTGTTTTCTTCTCTTTTCTTTTCTCTTGCTTTGCACTTTCAAGAGGAATGGCCCAGAGGACTGTCTGTTTCATAGTGGGAGTTGTTGTCATGACCTGATTATTCATTTTTATGTTAGTACTACTTCATCATAGTACCTTTCAGCGACCAGGTCGGTAAATAATGTCTTTCCCTCGCTCGCTTTTGTGGGATCTCAGAATCGAGCCAGCAATTACAAGCTGCAGTCCTCCCGTTTTCACCTCATGGGGAGCAGTCTTCACTGTTTTTTTTTTGTTTGTTTGTTTCAGTTTCGTGTTTCTTTTCTTTCTTGTTTTGCAAAAGATTGCTTGTGTTTCACTTTGTAGTGGTGTCCTTGTCGTTGTTCGCTTATGTCTGTAGGTTCCCACTTATCCCGATGCAGGAAGATGCTGGGAGATTGTAGACAAACATAAAGTCTCAATATTCTACACGGCCCCAACAGCGATTCGCTCCCTTGAGCGGGCGGGGAATCAGGTGTGTGTTTGACTGTATGATAGCACTTTCCTTCTTTCTTTCTTTCTTTCTTTCTTTCTTTCTTTCTTTCTTTCTTTCTTTCTTTCTTTCTTTTCTTCTTTGTTGATTCTTTCTCGATCTATGTGTATCATCCTTGCGCAGGGGCCGTGCTAATCTTCTCTGTATCGTTCCAATTTTAACGGATGTCTCGAAGGACATGATCTCACTTTCGGTTTGTTTGTTTTTTTTCGTGTGTGTTTTTTATTTTATTTACTGTCTTTTTAATGCTAGTTAGACATCAAACATGCCACCTTCTCCACCCATTCTACTCAACGACTTAGGCTATAGACGTTGATATGATGATATTATAATCGGGAAGGACATGAAAACAGCTGGGGTCTCAGATGTTGAGGGGTGGGGTGGGGTGGGGTTAGGTAGGGTGCGGTTCGGAGGGGTGGTGTGGTGTGGGGTGTGGGGTGTGGGGTGTGGTGTCACCGTCCGTTCTGACTGAGCTTGGAGAGCTGAATGGAATTAGCAGCCCTTGGCTCCATGTGGCCTTG